TTGTTGCCTGCATTCTTGATGATTGCCATTCTGACTGGAGTGAGATAAAATCTTAGTGTATTTTTTTTTTGAGAGAGAGAGAGAGAGAGAATTTTAATATTTATTTTTTAGTTTTCGGCGGACACAACATCTTTGTTTGTATGTGGTGCTGAGGATCCAACCAGGGCCGCACGCATGCCAGGCATACCGCTTGAGCCACATCCCCAGCCCCTTCTTAGTGTAGTTTTGAAATTAGTTCAGGACATATTATTTTCATATATTAAATTCTCACATCTGAGTTTATGAAGGATATTTGTCTGCAGTTTTTTCTCCTAGTAATATCTTTGATTTTTGTCATCACAGTAATGTCAGCTTTATAAAATGAATTTAGGAAGTGTCCCAACTTCAGAAAGAATTTGCATATGATTGGCATTATTTCTTCCTTAAAAGATTGATAGAATTCAATAGTAGAGTCATTTGGGCCTGAAGTTAGATGTTTGCTTTTTTGTTATTATTTTTGTTGTTTTTCTTTAGGGGAATGATGAGATATGAAGAAATGGAAATTTTTTTAATTATTCAGTTTCTTCAGTTGATACAGGGCAGTGGTTCTCAAACTGAAGTGATTTTGACTTTCCCTCAGAGAACATATGATCATACCTGATGACATTTTGGGTTGTTAAAACTCGTGCTTCTGGCATCTAGCATCTAACAACACTGCTAAACACTCTACAACACACCAGACAGCCCTGCCCACAACAAAGAATAATCCAACCCACATTGTCGAGTGTGCTTAGGTTGAGAATAGTGCTTTTTAAAGTTTTGATTCTTGCTGGGCAGGGTGGTACAAGCCTATAATCCCAGCAGCTCAGGAGGGTGAGGTAGGAGGATCAAAGTTCAAAGCCAGCCTCAGCAACTTAACAAGGCCTTAAGTAATTTAAGAGACCCTGTCTCAAAATAAAACATTAAAAGGCCCGGAGATGTGGCCCAGTGGTTAAGCACCCCTGGGTTCAGTCCCTGATACCAAAATAAATAAATAACTCTTTGTGGGGAGGGGGGACGGGATGGGGGCAGTGTAGGGGGTGGGCAGGTAGTAGGGATTGAACCCAGGGGCTCTTTACTATTGAGCTATATCCCTAACCCTTTTTTTTTTTTTTTTTTTTTTTTTAAGACCAGGGTCTCATTACTTGCTAAATTGCTGAATCTGGCCTTGAACTTGCTATCTTCAGTTTCCCAAACCACTGGGATTACAGGCAGGCAATACCATACCCAGCAAAATATTCTTATTATTCTTGCACCAGTTTTGACATTTTGAATTGAGTGTGTGTGCTGCTGGAGATCAAACTCAGAGCCTTGCACATTACAGACAAGTGCTCTACCACTAGGCTATTACCTCCAGCCCATGACCTGCAATTTAAAACATGACAGGTGCAGTGGCACATGCTTGTAATCCCAGGATGAGGCAGAAGGACCCCAAGTTCAAGGTCAGCCTTGGCAATTTACTGAGATCATGTCTCAAAATTTAAAAAATATTTTAAAAGGGCCTAGTGATGGCCAAGAGTAGTGCACAGGCCTGTAATCCCAGCAGCTCAGGAGGCTGAGACAGGAGGATCACGAGTATGAAGCCAGCCTCAGCATAAGTGAGGTGCTAAGCAACTCAGACCATCTTTAAATAAAACAAAATAGGACTGGGGATGTGGCTCAGTGGTTGAGTGCCTGAGTTCAAGCTCTGTACTGCCCCCGCCAAAAAAAGGGATAGTGATGTATATCACACCCCTAGGTTCAATCTCCAGTGTCACAAAATAATAAAAATAAA